CCGTTACCCACAGGGCTCTGCTCACTAGCGCGGCGCATCGGCGACTTCCGGCGCGACCATTTTGTTTTTCACCGCTCGCCAAGGGTACCAGCGTTCCTCCGGTGGTGGGGTCGTACTCCGCTTGTCAGTATGTTCCCTGTGGCGAGGGCTGCTCTAAACCTCACCGGTAAGTAAGGAGGAGGCTCTCTGGAGTACAGAAGTGCTGGGGGTGTTTCTCGGGAGTAGCCGGTTTCGTCAGGGGGGCTCCCCCCGGTTTCTTGCCTTCCCTGTGAGGAGGACTGTCGCCGGGCTCGCTTCGCCCCCGGGAGAGGGTCGTGAGGGCGGCTGAGGGCGGCTGTCTCGTCGTCCTTCCTCTGCTGCCTTGTTTTCTTTCTTTTTTCTACTTCTTTTACCTCCTGGTTGCTTTTACTTGAGCTGACCTTGGGTTCCCTTCCTCGGTGCTCTTCCTCCTTGATAGTAACTAAAGGAACATCCAGGTTTTGTAACCTGAGGTGGCAAGATGTAGTCAATCACCAGCCCTTAAACTCAAGGGTAACGTTACCTTTTCAGTGATAGACTCCCCAGTGCTTCCCCCAGTCCTCCCAAGTCTGGTCCTGGTTCATGATATGCTTAGCCTAAGGGGCATGCACCTAAAATAAAAGTGCTTAGCAGTGTTTCTCTCGTAGGTGTTCAACCTTCTTTTTCTGTTTTAAAAAAAAAAACTTGTGCAGCCCCACAGAGCATGCTAGGGATGTAGTAGTATTATGGGTATTGCCATCATCTTCTCTAGTCATGTTTGGGTAGATGTGAACTGCTGACCAGAAACATAAAGATTGTATTTTGTAATGTCTATCTTATGCACGGTTCACTGTCTCAACTACTAAACAATCTCTGTGTTTTGAAGCTGGTAGTTTGATTCTTCACTCTGTCTTCTCCTTAATAAGTGTACCTTTTATAGCGTACATTTATAATGTACATCATACATCTGAAGATATCCTCCTGTATTTCGTTCTCTGTTATTTACCTCATGCGAAAGCCCACAGTTATTTCCACTTCTTTCTTCACCTCCCTTCCCTTAAAAAATCTTTAAGGAATGAGAAAGGTGTTACCCATACCCACTATCTTCAACACCTTAATTTGATGGTGATCTTCATCCTGAAAATGCTTATATTAAGTACACATACTGGCAATATAGATATTTACGTATAGAAATCTGAAACTTTTAAGTACTAAACGAAATATTTTATTAGAGAAATAGTAATACTTAAAAGTGTACTTGAAGTTCCACACTGAGGGCCCAGAGGAAACATATTAATGAAAAAGGTAACTTAGAGGATTTTCTTACTGGAATTAGACTTCAGGAATAATTTTCTAGAGAGAAATTGGGAGAGCTGAATCAAAATGCAAGGCTTTGTGTATATCCTGTGTTTTGGAATCATCCCAAAGCTCTAAGTCCAAAAGATTAATTTTTTTCAGCTTTTCTTAAAAGTCTTTTAACACTTACGCTTGCCTCTCTGTTGGTGGGAGATGAGGATTGTGAATGGTTTGAACGTATATTTTAGTTGATTTCTGTACTTCTAATTCTCTTTGACATTCATTAGCTCGTGGCATTCAGCATACTGCAGTAAGACAAGCTCATCGCAAATATGAGCCTAACTTCCATGATAAATATGGAAACCTGGTACTCCTTGGTGGAGCCGCAGTTTTTACTGCTGTCTGGGGATATGTAAGTCATCCTTTTTTTCACCACTCTGTTGTGACTGTAACTGTAAACTTGCGAACTATTAAGTTTCACAAGGGCTTACTTATTTGAAATAACTTAGGTGGTCAGAATTTAGGAGCTTTATGAATAGTGAATAGTAGTGTGATAGAGATGAAAGTTGTGTTAGTTCATATTTTGGGTGGTTACACAAATTTCTGTGTCAGTCTATTGATTTTAAAATGTAGAAACACAAGTGTTCTCTATTTTACTTGGGATTTCTAAGCTATACAGGTGGAGGTTTTAGCAGAAAAATTTATAGATGAAAATAACAGTATGGTAATGAGGTTTTACGTTCCAGATTCTTTGTTCTAAAGCTAGATATTTTGAAATATAAAACTGAAGTATTTAAATATTATTCAATATAAATATATTCCACTTTATTAAAAGATGAATGAGATGTCATGTTCTAATACAAGAAATCTAAACTGAAAACAATAGAAATAGCCCTCTATCAGAAGGTTTCTTTGATTTCAGAGTTAATAATGTTGATTTTTATCCTTCTACAGGTGTTTACACAAGCTGGAATTGAGTGGGGCTTGTCACCTGTTGGCAGAGTCACTCCAAAAGAATGGAGGGAATAACAGCCTTTGCTTACAATAAACTGGTTTAAACTTTCACTGAAAAAATGACCATGTAATGGCATTTGTTCCGTGATTACCACTCATACAGTGGCAAAAAAAAACTAATAAACATACCTAGAAACCTGTCTGGCTCTTCTAGGTTTCCTCTATGCTCAGTGTCTGCTGAAATATAAGAAATAGTGTAAAAACTCAGCATAATTGAATCATCTTCATGGTAGTCCCAATAGTTCCTGTAAAGGTCAGTTGTGGATAATGGACAAATCCAAAATGTCCTATAGTTGTCCATTTAGCCATATGCGTGTGCTTAAATGAACCCCATGTATGTTCCCACTCCAGAGTTCACATCACTTTACCTCTGACTTCTGCTGCACACCTACTGACAAAGTTTTATTTTCTGCTGAGATCCCATTTTTTTTCCCACAGAATTATTTTTTGTGTCTTGAATCACTCTGCAAAGAAGCTGTTTCTCTCCGAGGCCTTCGAGAGTTGCAGAGAACTTAGTTTTTGAGGTCAGAGACGCTCCACAGAAGCAGGCAGTGTCCCAGCACTGCTATTCACTGATGTGAGAGAAATGTAACTTACTCTGATGAGTTCTTGTGTAACCAAAATTTGTTAGGAAATAGATTAGGGGTAGATGCAGACTTTGTAAACCTCTGAGTTGGTTTGAATCCCTGAAAAAACACGAATGTCCTGCTTTTTGATACAGTGGAGATCCATGAAATGGCTGCCTTTACTCTCCTGAGAGATTTTAATTACCGGTTTCTTCCCGGCTGCTGCTTTTTCCTGGGGCTGAGGTCAAAACGCTCGTTTGAGGCGCAGGTACGACTCGGTGCAGTCTCTAGGCCCCTGACTGGACGGACCTCTCCGATCACCGTTTAGCTTGGTAGCGCTTTGAGCAGCCACGTCCAGCAGCGGTGGGTGGTGGTCGATGGCCTCGGGCGGCCCCGCGGTGCTGCGCGGGGCGCCTTTGCCGTACCCATCGCCCCGCTAGCGGTAAAACAACGTGTTTCTGCCGCGGGTGCGGCGCCAAGGAGGCGGTAACGATCGCAGGCAGGCTGCCCGGCCGCCTCAGCAGCGCGGCCGCGGAGGAGCGGGG